GCAAGCACGACAATCTTCAGCATCATTCTGCAGCTGTTGAGTGGTAGGAATGACGAATTTGGGTCATTTTGTGGGCGATTTATAGACTGCGTTTGGGCTTGTCCATGCGCCCAAACCCCCGTTTTTTGTACAACGGGAGACAAACAGAAGCCCTCACACCGTCTCATGCAGCCCCAGAAAGCGCTTCTTGGCGCCCAATGCAAACGTCCTTGTTACCCTACCAGCATCAATAAACACTTCAGAATTATGGGCTTCACAATTACATTCGAATACATCAAACGTTATAATTAATAAACGTGAAGAGACCACTTAATCGTAAAACTATACTTATAGGTACACTTGTACTGTTTCTTTTAATTAAATAATGAATAGGCCTAGGGCTAATGGGGCTTCAAATTGATTGCATCCGTAGGCCAATGCTGAAATGCATTTAGAGCTGATGATGAAAAATCAACAAAGTAGACACAGACGCATTTTGTGTTACTCTGAACGGTTAAGGTAAGGCAGTAATATTCCCCATGAAGTCTCCGCTGGTCATTTCCGCCAAATGTATAGAAAAAATGTCTTTCATCCCAAAGGTTTTCGGGGGGACCTGACTTGGATAAAGATCGGGAAAATGTTACTTTGACCCTGAAAAGTACCAGGTGAAATATGTGCCGCCGTCCGGCTCAAATCTGACCTGCTGGCAGGGCTTTTTAAAGTGCACAGTACCGATAGGCGTTATATAAAAATGAACAACGGTCGGTCTCACGCTTCGCTTTCGAGAGATGTGCGTAGGAACGGCCTGAACTCTAGATTTACTACAATGTGTCTTCGGTTCCTCCTCAACCGTGTCAACGAAGCTGAAAAACAAATAAACACACCAACAAACAAACAAACAAACAAACACCGCCAGCAATTAACCAAAAAGAACACCTCAATTCCATCTTTCACCCAAGGTTCGTACTTTGACGTTCATTTTGTTGGAGTTCGCTAAGTTGAAGAGCTTTTCGAGCCTTTTTAACACAAATTCATTCAACTCGAGTTAATGGATTTTTGAAGGTTGCCCCAAAACAATATCCGTAGTATCCGTAGTCTCATCAGCAATTTGAGTGAAACTCTTTTGCTGGTACGTAGCCCTAGAGGAAAAGTGACAATCTCGTGAGTTTTGACGTCACAGATACCTGAGTCAAGTGCAAAGTACAACTGACGCAAGCACAACCTCGTCCCCAGGGCTTACCTCATTTTCAACATCGTTTCCAATAGTAAGCCCTGAATGGGAAACTTTCTTCCTGTATCCTGATTCAATACCGCAATTAGCATGTAATGGGTTAATATCGTGTACTTGGTGTTGGTATTTCCAGCGTGCAATGGCGAGGTTGATTCACAGCTACCACAAAATCTGCTTCAAAAGTAACTGTACGAGTGCAGTGAAGGAGGAAGTATTAGACCGAGTGACCAAAGTGGCTCGAGAGTGCCATCGGTCTTCACCCAGCCATGTCCATCCTCTAGTTTTGGGAGCTAGTTCGTAAATTTGGACGTGGGACCGCTTCAATTGATACACCCTGTAGCTTACTCGGTTGATTATGAGGGATGAGAGAGTCTTTGCAGGGTAGACATGGCACCTTGTGGTAGCTCTCAGCAGCCAGATATGCCTTAATCGAGTCATCCAGGAATTTGGTTTGGCCCTGAAAATCGCTTCTCTAATCGCCCTTTTTCCAACTTAATCCATGAAAATCCTCTCGCTAGTCGGTACGCCCCTTCCTTCATCTGAGAATTCGGGATACGCCAACGCAGAGAATTCCCTGATACTCTGCCCTGACTCCAGTTATGTCTCTTTGTCTCCCTGACGACGATGTCGCCTTCCATTAAATTGTACTCCGCCTGTTGACCTGGGCTAACAATAAGAGTTGATGAAATCCCTGCAGGAATATTTCCTACCCTCCGGCCGCCAGCCCAACACACTTAAAGTTGGTCCCTGGAGGGACAGGAAGAAACAAATTTGCTTGCTCGTCGTTCCACACATTGGCCATACGACCGGCCATGAAGTGTACCTTATAGTCCTTTCAATGCACCTTCCCGTTAAATCTATCCGGACAAAATAAAATGTTTGGTTTCTTCAACTTTCTCTATCTCTGATTCATCCAAAACGTCTCTCAGAAAAACCGATGTCACAATCTTCCAGCAGGGGGCCCTCGCCAGAAACGGGCTCCATACTGGTGTGCATGTACTGCGGGTTTCATACTACGTATCGGGGTTTCTCCGTGTGTGTACAGGGCCGGGGGCCAGAGCTGGGTAAGCTAGCTGTTGCCATGGCAGTGATACGCGTCCGCTGAAACAGCACAGCCTTGAAATTAAGGCTAGTGCTGTAGAGTTATTGTCGTAAGAGCTGACAGGGTAAAAATGTCGTGCCTAACGTACAAATTAAACTTCTTTTTTCGTTACTGAGATGTGGAAATCGTAAGTTTTCGTTAGAAGCTTTTTTCGTGCTCTAATCTTTCGGCCACTTGCATTTCTATCTTCTTCTTTTTTTACGTCATTTTGATTTCTATCAGTTTCTTCTTATACCGTACAACTTTCGCAGTTCGCTGTTTATCATCCGACCTAGCCTATCGCCATCGTCTTTACCTTGAGAAATAAGATTTTATGTATTTTGTGTTCCACCCAAACTCTTATCTCGTCTTCTTTTTTAGCTTTATACCTAAACTTTTTGCTGAAAGTACGCTTATATCTAGATAGCGCCCTTCAGCCACGATTCACCAAACACCAAATCTTACCAAAGTGAACTGATGTGAACTCTGTTTTTTGGGGGCATATATTTATGTTATTTGTGCTTTCATATTTTTTCAAGTGTGTTTTCAGTAATCCTTTTACAGCAAAACCAACAGGCGCTCTATAATAAACGACTTTACTTGTGTAGTGATTAGAAATAATATGTCTATAATAAGAATTGTAAAGTTGCCCATTTACAGCCGATTGAAGGCGCTGTTTCAGTTTACGGGTCGACCTTCCGTGGATTTGCTTGGGGGTTATATGAATAAAAAGTAGTGCGTGCATAATTAAGGGGTCCTTTTGAGGATATAAGTGAAATAAAAGGGGTTCCATCCATTTTTATAAGGTCGAGTAGTACTGAGGGTAAACTTCCAATAAGTAATGGAAAGTCTATGAGTATACTTGAGTATCCATTGGTGATTTTTATTGTTAACTGTGTGCGGCTTAATAGTAAACATAAGTTTACGTGAACGGGTTTTGCGGGCATTGCTGAGCTCGCTGGAGTCTCGTTAAAGTACATTTTACTCATTTTTATGGCCATAGAAGGGCCATATTGTTTGCAGTTAGGGACCCAAACGAGGGAAGGAGAGGCAACCCAGGGACCCAAGGCACTGGCTGGTATGGTGAAGATTTTCACGCTATTTTCTTCATTGTGTATATTACAATGTTGCATAGTTTTATGGCGCTGACAAAGTCAAAGGTCACCCGTGCATGCAAGGGTCTTTCTACTTTAGCACACAATATACATATACATGTATATTATATACTTTCCAGGTTTAATTTATTAAGTTTATTTTGATTAATGGAAGACACATGTACATGTAGCATTTGCGGACGTTTATATCGTTTAATTTTGATTTGATTTTATTAATAGGTTTTTTTTAAATATATATTTTTATATATTGATGATGATATAAAGACAGCTCGATCAGTACTAACAACACCCCAGAACCTGACACCACAGTTTCACTACATACACTCGTAAAAACAATACCTATTTTCGGTCACTTTAGTCGAGTCCGGGTCAGAGTCTCGAGTCATTTCAAGTTGGGTCGAAAACGAGTCCTAGTCCGGTCATGGCTGTTCGAAAATTGACGTGCCAAATCACAGTGCAGTGATGATCATGTATTATGTACACGGAAGCCTATGCATAATACGAAATGCTTTACCATATCAGCAAGGTGGGCAACACCCCCATAAAATACCCAAAATGTTTAAGCGCCCCTAACGGTGACCCTTTGTGCTGAAACAAATATGATTCAACGACTAACTACGCCAAATACGACGGCGTTTGAATGAAGATAAATAGATTTGTAAAACAAAAATATGTTTCCAAAAAAATAGGCCCGCAAAAATGGTAAAGCGCCCTCCTGTGGTCACCACAGCGTAATTAAATGATGTCATAATATTATAGCTTAATGATATTTCTCTCAAAATTCAGGAAAGTTCGGCTGAAAATACATCTTACGATGGTGGGCACCAAAAAGATTTTTTGACACTGTCCAATAAATATCGTCACCGACACCACGAAGTAACACTCTACCGTGTTTAACCATATTTTTTTCGATTTCCTTTTTTTTTGGATTTTTAAACATTATTCATCAAGGCCTACCATTGCACGAAGTTTCAAAGCTTCAAGAGCTTTACTTTAATAATTACGCTAAGTATCCATGGCAACTTTTGCGCAAAAGTGACAATTTTCGTTTTCACGAAGTAACACTCAGGTTCTATTTACCATTGCAATGCATGGCATGCACTCTGCTCAAATGCGAGCAAAAACGTTTTCACGAAGTAACACTCTCGTTGTTTGAGCGCGCGCGTGCTGACCTCCGTTTCCACGAAGTAACACTCTTCTAGTGTAATACATTGAAGCGTGCTACTTCGTGAAAACGAAATTTTACAGTTTCGCAGCTTTTTTGGTTTCACGAACTAGCACTCATCTTTTTTCTCTTATTTCTTGTTGTTTTAATACACAAACGGGTCAACAACAGCAAATTTAATAACATCAATACATCAAGTGTCTACATCGAGAAACTCAACTGAAAATACTCTGTATAGTTTTGACGCAAAGTGTTGTTCTAGAAGGCGTTCAACTTTAGATGCCGTGTTCTCCGATTGCTAAATTTTACCGGTATGTACATGAGTGTTACTTCGTGGTGTCGGTGACGATTATAATTACCACCCTGAAAATCGATTTAAAAATCCTCTCAATACTTTCTTAAGTAACAGAAACAGAACAATTTTGATGCTTCAATGCTTCAAATCAAATTTATTCAAATGTATTCCCTTCACCTCAAAATGAAAACAAAAACTGTATCAAGTTTATACAACCGCAGCAAATATTTACATAAAACATTGTTTGGGAACAGTACAAGACTTGCAATTAATGACTGATTATTAGTGTAAACATAATCTGGATGAACAATACAGGTGAAGAGGCTCAATTTGGGAGACTGTTTTGGAAATTTCACAATGATATCTGGTGGCTTTCATCAAGTCCTTTTTAAAGTTAAAATCCGCCAGGAATGTGGTCTCCTCAAATTAACAGTCTGTTTCAAACCAAAAATGTTGCCTGACAGCGGTCTGCAGCTAAGCGTTTTGTTAATTTTGAAACTTCAGTCCCTAATTTCGTCGTACGCCTTATTGTTATCCCGGGGTAATGATTAATGTGAATACCTAATAGCACGTTTTGCGAAAAGAAAACGTTTAAACTCGAACACTTTCAAGACAGAATTAACACATTTTACATGATTGTCACACTATTGTGTCCTCCTGTACCAATATAATTATACATACAGGGTTCTATACGTGTAGAGTGTTATCGGTATTGGTATAAGAGCTGAACAATGGAAACAGTCCTTCACGAATGAAAACAATACTTTCAAGTGACCTATTTTTAATGCATTTTAAAAACTTTAAATCGAAAGAAAAAAAACAATGTCGATCATATTCCCGCATTGTCCTGAAAATACAAACAAACAAAATACAAATAAATATCTTTCGGTAAAGATCCCATGGTTTAGAAAGTAGGCGGCTTTTGAAAGCAAAGACTCTGCTTGTCTGATATTGTTCCTATCAAGACGTCTTTCTTATTTTGTTTCATTTTGAACACAGCATTGCATATACTAAACTTAGTCGATCTACTCCCTCAAATTCAACCCCCCCCCCAACAAAAATCACTTAAAGGACCCTCAGTTTATTGATTAAGGACCATAAAATCAAAGTGATAACATTGAACCCAGTCTATGATGGTCCAGAGAGGCAAACAATAAAAAAAGGGAAATTACTGCTAATAATTGAACGTGACGCAAATTATATGTACTTACGATTTGAATCACATCTTGGTAAAAATTCAAGCATCGTTGTAGCATGTCGTCTGACTGTTAATGAAGAATCAAGATCAATATGGTATATAAGGAAAATAGTTCTAGCCCTTTAAAAATCAGGTATTATAGTGGAAAATTATCACATCTGTTAATAGACCTCAATCCGGGTATTCATCTGACAGGTCTTCAACGACTTGACTTATATGAATTCGGGCGTTATTCATTTATGCGCGCAGCGAAATGCATATGTATTACGTTTCCATAGAGAGCCAATGATAACCCGGCTGTGTCACTTGGAATCGTCCATTATTAGAGTGCGGATACAGTTCGTAGCATGCTTGATAAATGCACACTTTTTCTCCCCCCCCCCCTCTCCCTCTCTCTCTCTCTCTTTTTGTAGCGATTTCCGTCAAAATATTACACTCAGTGGTAAAATAGAAAATTATAGTGTCCAAATCGTGTTTTCCGAATGACAATATAATGATGCATGGATTCCAAACGACCAAGGAATTAGCGTTCGATCCTTCGCGCAATCGATTCGATCCAGGCTATGTTGCACGGTGAACTGATGCATTCGCTGGAAGCATTCACCACGCGCGTCAGTGTAATAACACCATTGGGGCCGGGACCGGCGCCTGCACCGAGCGAGATGGGTAAATCATATAAATATTCATATCCTCCTGATTCTTGATTCTTAGCCAATCAGAGTGCTCCGTCCAATTTTGGTAGCAAGCTTGATATGTTTGATTTTAAGTGTAGTTTTGTACCGGGGGGGGCAACTCACGTGATACGGGTATTGTAGTAGCTCCGGCTACATGACGACCAGCCGAGATCTAAGCGATGATCACCTTTGTTTTTAGCCATCAAGTAACCCGTTGATGCGCAGCGGTTATTAGGACCACCATCGGGACCTTCAGAATCATGGTACATGCCCAAGCTGTAATCGTTGCAGAGAAAATTGTAAAAATCATAATGGCATTGAAGGTTTCAATAACATCTTACCACAGAAACGCCATTAACCAACCTGGTTCCCAGGGTGTCGAGCAGTACGCTCCCACCACTATATACCTTCTCCCTCACCCTGGTATTGGGTCAATTGCGTATCCAACTTTGTTTGGATACGTTTATATGCAAATGAGAATTGTCTGGTGCTGTCCTGTTCTTTACACCAGTGTTTGTTTTTGTATGTGGTGTCTGGGATAAAAACAGAATCAATTCGTCGCAGCGTGAGTTACGAAAACACGATTTGTTTCAAGATAAAATATTAATACAATCTTATCCAGCCAATATGCAGTATCACACTGCATATTAATGTGAGCAAATTGGAAAGGAAGGGATTATTTTTCAGAAGTTGTGGACGAAAGAATAACAGTAAACGTGAAAAAACGTAATAAAATTGGAAATAACAACACCAAGTTGCAGGATACAGGAAGCAAGTTCCCATTTCAGGGCTTACTATTGGAAATGAGGTTGGAAATAAAAAAGCTCTGGGGACGAGGTTGGTCATTAACCCCTTTCTCGTATATTCATTCCGCATCACTATTTTTCTTAAGTATCATTATTATTTGTTTATTTCTACTTGCATGCAACCTAAAGGTTTAATAGTATTTATCGTACAACCATAAAACGTCTTAAAAATACAAAAGCGTTTACACATTTTAATTCCTGTTAACATTTGGATAAAAACACATCAAACCCTAAAAAAAATTGAAACGTTTAAAACGTTTCAATTTTTTTCAGAGAGAATAAAATACACAAAGATCTAACCAACATAAATAATCCTGACATTAGTGAAAGGGCAGTACAAACTTGACACAACAATTATTAATCGAATGGAAGTCAGATCATTACGCCAAGTGTATCATTAAAATAAGTCACAGACATCTTAAACTTGACTGCAGCTCATGGGAATAAACTGACCAGGGATGCGTTCTAAACAGGGTTGGTTGATTTAAATCACGTTGATTTTAATCACTGATTTAAATTGAGATTTAAATCAAATGATCTTTTTTGATCAAAATCACTTCTTTGTAGAAATCTTATTCTTGGCGAAATAAATTGATTGAGGGACATTTTAATCATTTAAATCAACCGATTCCACCAAGTTACAAAGCGTAATATGTTCTTTTCACTTTCAAACACCCCTACGTGGACTTCATCAGCCTCGAATCAACTTACTTGTAGGTTTTGCATAATTACCTGAATCATTGATTAAAGTCAAGATCTGAGTTTAAAAAGTTTTCTTTGAATTTGAATTTTAATGACAGCACACTCACTTTTGCTTTAACCATTCATTGATCTGTTTAGTAATATTGTGAATCAGCTGTGCTGGTGTAGGCTTACCTGAACCATTTAAAGGTGTATTAAAGTCCCAATTGATAGTCTTATTCCTGTTTCTCCATAAAAAAAATGTAGATTGAGATTAATGGAATGCCTTTTAGAGGTGCAAGGCCTGATTTCTGTTCTCCACCTCGTATGAAGGACCATCATCAAACACTATATTTTGATATTTAGCTGTTTCGGCATCGGCCGAAACAGCTATTGTTTTCGTTAATCTGTTTCGGTGTACACACCGAAACAGCTCTTGTTTTCGTTAAGATTTTTTTTCTCCTTTTTCAGACTTTTTCTCCATAGGTTTAACTTTCGTAAAACACTCCACTTTGGCACTTTCGTAAATTCGATGGACTTTAGACTTGACACACATTTAGACCACCACCCACAGATGGTCCTAGAAGAAGTTTGTGATCGTGACGTTGCCAGGTGTTGGGTTTCGTCACATTAAAGATGCATTTTTCCCCATAGGGTTTGTACACGTTTTAAAACTTTCTATTTTGGCACTTTCGTAAATCCGGTTGACGTTAGACTTGGTACACGCTTAGACCAGTCCACCAATAGATGGTCCTAGAAGAAATTTGTGTTCGTGATATCATCAGGTGTCAGGTTACTTCACATTAAAGATGCATTTTTCCCCATAGGGTTTGTATACGTTTTAAAACATTCTACTTTGGCACTTTCGTAAATCCGATCGACGTTAGACTTGGTACACACTTATACTACCACCCACAGATGGTCCTAGAAGAAATTCGTGATCGTGACATCATCAGGTGTAAGGTTACTTCACATTAAAGAAGTATTTTTCCCCCATAGGTTTTGTACACGTTTTTCTTCAAATCATATTTTGGCACTATATTTCTGATTGACTTTTCACTTGGCAGATGACATTCGAGGTGACTTCATGAAGTGTTCATCACGTGCACAGAGTATTTCAAATATCCGATACAGCTTGTGTTTTTCCACAAACACATTTCTAGGTTTTTTTTCTTGGTATTCAGTAGGTTCCATAGAGTTTGTGCACGTTTTTCTTCCACCAGTCGACTTTGGCATTTTTGTAAATCTCATCGACTTCAGACTTGGCACACACTTAAACCACAACCCACAGATGGTCTTAGATGAAATTCGTCATTGTGACGTCATCAGGTGTCAAGTTACGTAACATTAAAGGTGCATTTTTTCTCCATAGGGTTTGTACACATCGTACACGGAAACGCATAAATGGCATGATTTATGAGCCGCTTGATTAAATAAAGGTTTATACTAATGTTGAGCGGGAGACTCATAAATGATATGTTGTGTTAGCCCCTTGAAACACGGATTTGATTGATTTTGTGGACGTCGACGACGACGATATCCCTTATACACTAATTGCATACAGGGATACTCAGAAACGATGCTTTTTGTAAGTTGGCAAGTACGTACAAACTAAAGCGTTTTAGGGAAACACAGATTCGATATGTTGTGTTACCATGTTGGTTCACATACAACACTGCTTAAGACAGAAACACAGATTTGATTGTTTTTGTGGACGACGACGACGATATTTACCCATACACTTATTGCATACAGGGATACATAGAATTTATGTATTTTGTAAGTTGGCAAGTACTTGCAAACTAAAGCGTTTGAGGGAAACAGAGATTTGATATGTTTTGTTAGCTGCTTGGTTCACATACAACGCCGGTTAAGACAGAAACACGGATTTGATTGTTTTTGTGGACGACAACGACGACGATATATACCTATACACTTGGTGTATACACGGATACTCAGAATTGATGTATTTTGTAAGTTGGTTGGTGAGATACGTAGGCCTACAAACTAAAAGCGTTGGAGGGAAACTCAGGTTCAGTGTATTTAACCGCCATTATTTTTCTGAGGCCTATAACTACACATCTGTTGGTCCGATGTGGTTGAAACTTGGTAGTAAGTAGTAACCTATATTGGGATTTGTTATACATGCAGAAGAAAATTGTAGTCATCATGACGTCATCACAAGTCATGTTACAACACATGAAGCGGGCATGTTTCTAAAGCTTATAACTACACACCTATAGTTCATATTTAGCTGTAACTTTCTATGTACTTATATTGGGATGTGCTACAGATAAAAGTTAATTGCCGTCCTCATACCGTCATCACAAGTTATGTGACGTCATATTCAACCAATTTTATGTATATCACTTACAAGGAATGTCATATCCTTGCAACTGGTTTCTGTCATAAGCCTCAGTCAAGACCTTCTTCCCTTAAAAAAAACCATTTAACATCACCCAAATTGCATTCCATCTGTTTTTGCACGACAACAACTCATCACCTTCACCACTCAAGCAAAAAGTTCAATGCTTTAAGCGTGAAAACGAAAACACATACCAAAAAAGCTTCCATGTCCGTCACCACATTTCGTCTAGCCTCTGAATTGACTCTTTCTTGCTAGATTGGTTGCTATTAATATTTAATTATATTTGCCCGGCCCATTTTGAAAAACCTCATCAATTCATTCAAATAGAATACAATGATTTTTAACTTCTTAACATTCATGATTTCTATGTTCCCCGTCAGACAAATGTGCATAGGCCGTCAAGCATGAAACCAAAAGGGCCTATTCAAAATGTGCAGCGGTCAAAACAATTAATGTTGTCATTTTCTCTCAATTTTTGAAATATTTGTCCCATTTCTCTTTCGAAAAGTACCTTAAATCGTCACGTGTCATACCTAACACTTTCTGTCATCGTCACATCATATCGGTTGTTTCGTTTCAGCTAAATAACTGATTGAGTTGTAACTTCTTGTTATAGTGTCATACGTGAATTGAATAGTGACATCATGACGATGTCGTCACAAGTCGCAGTTTTTCCAAACAGCCGAAACAGCTGTGTTTGTACACAGACACCTCTAGTTTATCTTTGTAACCATGTGCAATTCAGCCGCAATGCTGCAAGACATTGGATTTTTAATAAACCAGAATAATAAGGATATTAATAATTATTTAAAAACTATAAGTTCACAATATACATTCACATTATAATAACTATAAGTTCACAAGGATCAGTGCTGTCATTTTGAATTTTTTTGTGAAATAAACATTCCCATGGAAGACTGTACTCGTTTTGTGTACATACCATGTACACATAACATAAATCACGTTTTTCATTCATATCTTCTCACAATGTATCTGAGCTGTACCAATCAAGCCATAAAGTGTCTTCAGTTTTAATAATGTACCATTTGACTAATGAGGTAGACTACATGTATTGAACCAATGTAGATGAAATAAAGTGATTTACGTGATGGGTATAAGGGTGCATGGGGAGATTTTAGACACGTTTGTAGACATGAACATTTTGAAAATTGAATAAATAAAAAATCCAATTTTTTTTTTTTTTTTAAATCACGCCAAGCTGTTTTTTTTTGGGGGGGGGGGGGGTCCGCGCATAAGTCGGACGCCTCATAGGTCCGACGCTTCATAAGTCTGACAAAATCTCATCTCCAAACCAAATAAAGGCCCATAAGTCCGACGCCTCATAGGTCCGACGCCCATAGGTCCGACGCCTCATAAGTCCGACGCCTCAAGTCCGAAACATCGTTTGTCGATTGTCGGAATTATGAGGTGTCGGACTTATGAGGTGTCAGAGCAATGTGGCTGAATCCCTAAGTTCGATATGTCCCATAAATCGGACGCCTCATAATTCCAGAAATGTCGGACTTATGAGGCGTCGGACTTACGATACGGCCCCGTTTGCGGGCGTTTTTTATAGCAATCGGTCCTGCGAAGGCGCCAAAACAGCATGCCAAATTGACGATATCACCATTGTGATAGCACGTAGCTTTTAAAGTCCTCGAAATATTATATGCGAATGGAAGCACGGGCGGATGTAGCTTTCGGGAAGTGTGGGGCTTGAGGGACTGAGGCGTGCCTAAGGCACGCCCTGCCAAGGGCATGCCCCCCCCCCCTAAAATGTTGAATTGCACAAAACTTTCTCCTGCATTCTAATGCATTTTGAGAATACATCTATGAACTTAAGCATTCCATTTATTAATTTCCCCCCAATTTACGAGGACCACAACATTAATCAGCGGCTGAAAGGGTGTTTAGGGGGTTGCAATCCTCCTCTAGATTCGCCACTGGGAAGTGAATTTACATCGGAATGTAGAAAACGAAAATTGTCATCCGAGGATCAATATTACAGGCTCCTTGTGTGTGGCGGCCATTTTTGAATAACATACCAAAACAATTATAATTATGTTTGCCATAATAGCTGCTAAACTCACTTGTGTCCAATCTCGTGTGCGGTAGTACTAGTGGCATCCAATCCGATGAATTCACTGAGTGATGTACCATACCGGCCACATTCCCCAACGTATGCTATGCCCAGTAATCCGTCACCAGACCTCGAACTTGAAATGTCTACTCTGTTTGGGACGAAAGGAAAACACAAAGCGCAAAGGGTGTGGAGTAGTTTTAGCATTACATGTAGGTATTTGGAGTCCGAAACTAAAGTCTATTATTGAAACATCTGATCAAAATTAAGGAACCTGCATGGTTGTTTGCTTGGTTTGTGTTTTTTTTTTCAAAACAAGGGCCGAAATCCTTGAGTTTCACGCTCTCCACCCCACGTATTACACATATCAAGTTTCGTTTTTAGTTCTTTTCTTACTTTGAGTATTTAGAATTGTTCCTTTTTTTGTTGTTTTCTCCGTCCTGCTTTTCGAGATTCAACCCCGAGAGTGAATCTGCTTTTTTTTTATTGCTATTTCTAGCGAGACATTTGTTTCCACTTTTAAATACGATATCGACTAAAAATAGTTGTGATATTCTAATTTTATTTTAGAAATCGATTTCGATTTATTTGCGGCCCGACAATAATCCGCCTCACTCGCAGACACAGATTTACGCCAATGTTGCGCACGAATACTCACCCTGTCAAGAATGCAGCGTTGTCCCAATGCTCACTGCTTGAGGACGGTTTCTTATTATCATCTTGCCAGCTCGCACATTTTGCAAGGAAGGTGTCACCATCAGAATACATATTCAATCCATTCTAAATAAACCAAGACAAAACTAGAGGTTCGCGTTTGTTGTTACAAACGCAGAGTGGTCGGGTAGACAACTTTTTCATTAGACATTGTCCAGTTAGTTATGATTATGTTTATTTCAGAAAAAAGGATCAATAACTTTAACATTTCCAGTACCATTTTGTTTGTACAAAAAAAATGCGTCTTTTAGGGTATGATAAATTTCAGTAAACATTTAGGTACACGAACAAGCGATTTTGTACAATTTGAACGGATGGTTTCAAACTAAAAAAAACAAACACTATTTTATGTGCCGCTAGGGGGAGCCCTTTTAAAAGATGACGTCATCACATTATTTTATGTGTCTGACATTCCTCACTAAACACTTTGTTAATTTGTATGTGTGTAGTGAAATGCTTCCGCTTTTGAGTTATATTCGGTTTTTATTGCACTCCCGGTAACACCGGAAGTAAAGGTCATGCAGTTTTGTGTCTGGGAACAATGTTTTTCACGGCATAGTGTACAACCTCACGAAAAAACGAACACGATACTCTTTTTAGTTCAAAAGATATGACGCAAACTATTTTGTCAAAATTTGCCCTAAATCGCTTGTAATTTGATATCTGATGACGTAATGATAACGTAACAAAATTTATAACATATTCGTTACATGGTACAAGATCACACAAGGTTGTATGATCATACCGTGAACTGTTTGGATTACATGTTGCTTTGTTTTGATTTCAGACTAAACTTCTTCGTTTTGAATTGACCTAACCTTGACCTTCCGGTAGACCCAGAAGTACAGGTCAAGCGAGTTCACGTAAAAAAAAACAAATGTTCATCAATTAGTGGTCTATCCGATTACAAGGTTTGAACATGATTGATCAATTTTTTCAAGAGTTAAAGTTGAAAGTAATTGGTCACTTTTTCAGCTAAAATCGCTTTTAATTTCACTCGATGACGTCATAATTACGTCAGAGTAATGCACCACATGAGGGTCGATATTTATTGCAAGTTACAAGTTCATACCATAAACCGTTTAGGAGAAAACCCGCGGAAACGTGCCGTACGGAAAAAGAAAGAAAGAAAGACTAGAGGTTTGCGTTATTTGTTACAAACGCAGAGTGGTCGGGTAAACAATTTCATTAGACATTGTCCAGTTAAGTTATGAAAATGTTAATGTTAGAAAAAAAGGGATCAAGAACTTAAACATTTCCATTACCAATTATTTTGTACAAAAAGAATGCGTCTTTTAAGGGTATATTTTAGAAACAGCAAACTTCCAGTTTGATGACGTCATAGTATTTCTAAGCAAAAGGCCAGTATTAAGTGTAACAGATGTCATTTTGGGGGCAAAAAACAGTCATGAGACAGGGATCAAATGATGGATTTAAATTAAAAATAAAATGATCATTGTTGAATTCTCCCCACAGTAACTTCCGGTCTAATGACGTAATGATTATGAAATCTTGCAAATTCATTTATGATTGTTCACGTGATATATAGGGGCAATTTCATGAAAATTTGATTGAGGGGTTTAACATTCCAAAGATTAAACTGTTTTGATGTGCCGCTAGAGGGCGCCATTTTGTGGTATGACGTCAAAATTATGTTTTTGTGTTTGGCATTCCTCACTTAATACTTCCATTATGGATTTGTTAGTATTAAATTGCTTCCATTTTAGAGTTAGATTCAATTTCTATTGCAATTTCGGTAACACCGGAAGTAAAGGTCAAGCGGTTTTGAGTCCGGGAACAAGAAGTATAGTCTACAACCTCACGAAAAAACGAACACAATACTCTATTTAGTTAAAGCCCGAGTCCGTCATTTGCAGCTATCCAAAAAAGTAACTGGCGTAATTATTGTTGAAAAACATACTGGTTGAAAGATAGTAAGGGGACTAAACTCCCTGTGAAATTATCCTCTCTGGCAAGCTCTCATTTTGAAGAAATCAACGAAAGAAGGCCTTTCCAACGGTGCATCTTAAGAAGCACCGTAGGAGGAAAATTTAAATTAGTTGTTCGTTTTGTTATTCGGCGCAGCGCGCACAAGCATTGGAACGACGCACAGGCGCGCGCGGTTGCTATAATTCGTCGGATAAGTGCGCGACATCGCGTAAAGCTGCAATTCAAAACAATTCGAACATGATTTAGCAACTTTTGATTTAAAATTGAGATCCTAGAATGCTGTTTTTAAGAAAACCCGCGGAAACGTGCTGTACGGAAAAAAAAGAGAGAAAGAAAGATTAATCGTAACAATAATAGAGAGTGGTCGGGTGTGCCCGACCACTCAATGAGCGGGAAAGCCCAATGTTCTGTTATCAAACAGACATACTCGCGTTTTCTTTTTCAGTCATTTTGCCCATATCCATTTGTACACGTTTTGTTACCGGCACTTGGGATCTGAATTCAATTCGATTGACTTTATACTTGGCATACACTTTAGAGCAGCAGCTGAAGTTCTGTACCGAACAATGACATCATCGTGACGTCATCATGAGTCACGTGACGTCACATTATATGCGATTTTTCTGTTATGACTATTTTCCAGCAGAATTTGGCTAGTTCTCACAGATTGGGCTATATCTCCAGAACTGCAGGTCCGATTGGGATGAAAGTTGATATGTACTTAGACTAGGATGTGTTACAGATGAAAATTTAAGTGACGTCACGATGACTTTATCACGTGACATGTGACGTCATATTAAAAATTGCATATTTTGAAGGCCAATATCTAAAGAACTACAGGTCTGATTGTGTTGAAACTTGGTATGCACCTAAACCGGGATGTGTTATAGATGAAAATTTAAGTGACGTCACGATGACGTCATCACGTGACATGTGACGTCATATTAAACCATATTAAGCCAGAACATAAAATCTATACTGAAAGTTGAAACATTTTTGTTTTTAAACAAAATCATTGGTTGTACTGGAAAGGTAAAATACTCGTGGTCTTTGTTTCGACATAAAATTATTCATACCTTAACTGGGCTGTGTCTAATGAAATAGTTGCGTTTGTAACTCAACAAACGCCTTGACCTCTAGTTTTTTATTTGTCTTTATCATTTTCTTAAGGGCATATTTTAAATTATTGGCAAGAAACGAATATGTTTTAAAACGTGAGCCACAGTCAAAATAAACAACTTGTTGCAGACACTATACTTTACCTTGCAAAACTTGCGTTATTGTTGTCGCTAAGTTCAAAAAATATATCAATACAAAGAAACACAGTTTCAGTCCAACGATAAATGTAGCCTGGACATGTTAGACTTGATGCAATATTAAAATAATACTTCATATGGGCTTCAGCGAATCCATTCTTCAATATGAATTTCAACTTTAATTTGTTCCATGGACTCGCTTCCATGTGAAGTTGTGAGATAACTACATGACTTGTATAAGCTTATTCGTCATAAACCTACCTCAAATGCTCCAAAGACCTTGACGTACGTCAGCCTGGGAACCAGCCCAGTTCCTCTCAGAGAACTCAATTGCAAAACATTTTTACCTAAATATATATAAGAATGAAAAAGCAAAGAGGAAAAATCGCTAAAAGAATACTTGTAAATATGCGTCTTCATCACCACAATGGTAGGCGCACAATGTGAAGAGCCTTCTCAAAAGTACCAAAATAAGGCGAAAATGGTGACGACAAAATAATACTAGCAAAAAGATAATGGGGGAGTGGTCGAGCAACACCTTTTGGTCAACTGACTGCATCTGGCCTTCAAATTCATTTTGATTAGATAATGACGCCAATTAAACGCCGCCAATGGGCGCAGGAAAATAACTCAACAAAGGCCACTATCTGAATCGCAATGTGGTATGAAAGACTAGCATAAGCTCAAACACATGTAGGCCAATTTCCCTTATTTCAATCGACCTTTTTACTTAGGCCTACCTTTTTTCTTCACAACATTTATTTGATGCTTAGCGAACACACTAGGTACACATTGATTATTGGAGAGTGTTTAAAGGCGCGTATGGGGTTTACTGCTTTTTTGCACT